CTCTTCAACGAATCTTTAGTGCAGCTCTCTGGTGATTTTAATGAGCCCGTTAGTAATGTTTTAGTGGCCAGTTCATTTACACGTTGGCTGTTTATAATTTTAGCCAATAACTCCTGGGTGTTCTTTTTAGAGTTATACGGTTTAACGATTTCTTTGAAGTGCAGTTTTTTGGCCCGAATCGACTTAAAACTATTTCTTGCTGAAAGTTGTACACCAGGGCTGAATTTTTCTGATGGAAAATCCGCTTTGACTTTCGGAAGCATAGCATTTTTTGTTTTATCACTTTCACGAATTTTACTTGCATCATTAGTATTTCTCGAACATAATTTTGAATGTGTGGATTTTTTGAACGTCAAATTATTAGAGGTTTTGGAAACGCCTATTGATTTTATTTTAGAATTGCAGCTACAGAAGGATGCCTGAATAAATAAACACATCGTTATTAAAGCAATTCGATTTTTTTATACAAAATATTTTGGAATTTATTGTCACATTCTACGAATGACTTCTAAGTATATATTTTCAATACTTACTCTAGAAGTTAGTATTATATTTGACAACCATTTTGATGACCGCATAATTTGGAACAACAAATTTAAATCCAATATACAACAAATTTATGTTTTAAAAGAATACAATTTTTAAAATTTTTTGTCGATATATGTTTCCACTTTTGTTTACTAACAACAAACAAGTGGTATTTAAGACGGCCAGCTGGTATATTCTTATAAAATAAAAAATATATAAAACCATAGTCAATGCGCCCGTTTCAATTTCATTACTCACCAAAATTAATGAATTGTAGGAATTCCGTCCAATGAAAAAATAATACAATCGATTCCCATACAAAAGAGGTTGAAAAAAATTTTTTTTTAACAATTTAGAATAGTTTTGGTTATTAAATATTTCCTAGAGCTGTAAATCCAAATGATACACATTAATTTATTCAAAAAATTTCTATAAATATTGATTAGCTTAGTTTTATTTTAGTGTTTAAGGCATTTCTACAACGGAACCTTACCTTACGGTTCCTTACAACGGAACTATAAAATTACTTATAATATATGATTTATATTCTAAAATTGTCAAAATAATTTTAATTTGTAATTGTGATTAATTCTAGTTATTACCCTCGTGATAACTAACATACCGAAGAAGTGGTTCATTCTATTTTAGATATATCATAAACCGTTATGTATAATTTCCGTTATAATGCAATGAAACCTATGTATGGTATGATTATAAGTTTGTGATATTCAGATACTCATTCCTTAATCTATGAGATTAACACAGATAATTTAGTGGATGATCTTAGAAATATTTTTCCACCATATTTCGACACATAAAATTTCCCAAAAGATCATCCATGTTTTTCAGATAAGAGAAATAATATTCCAGGATACTTTATAGACTTAAAGAGTTGAAAGGTTTAATTTTACTTGAAAAGGTAATTTCAGGTCCTAAATTATATGGTTTTAATGTTGGTGAAAAAGAAACAAAGAAGACAAAAGGAGTGGAAAAATATGTTGTTGAAAAAAAAATGAAAATGCAGCATTATATTGATGTTTTTAATGCACCCGCCAAACAAATAAAACGATTTTTCTGTTTTTGTGTTATCCAGAGAATAACTGCACAAAAATATCTAAATCCAAATTTTTAGATATTTTTTTTTCTATGCTTATTGAAGCTAAATTAACCAACCGATCATTTTTCATACGATATAGTTATCCAAACGTCAGAAGCATGAAAAAGTTCTTTCGCAAGCTGAACTGGATACAGGAATAGTTATTATAATAATAGCCAGCTTATACGTTTCATTGGATGCAAGCTTGTACTTTTCAAGTAGACCAATTAGATTCATCAGGTTGTTTACCTTAACATTATAATGAATTGATATTTTTATAGTTGCTGGTAAGATTTTTTGTTCTGCTCTTAACTTTTCTAGATCAAGATTATAGTGAACAGCTAAAAGTTTTAATTGTTCATAACATAAAAACTGTTCATGTTGAGGGTATAAGTAAGATATTGATGCCAACATACCATAATGATCTGTCAATCGTTCTTCTAGTTCTTTAATTATATAGTCCAACGCTTGTATGTTGTCTTAAACCATATTTTGATATAATCTGATTAGTTTCTAAAGTACTAAGCTCAATAAATATGTTCTGTTTAAATTTCTATTTTTTTTACTATGTTCATTTGGTGTGGATATGTCGTTTTTTTCACAAGTATTAAGAGCTCCAATGTATATTTTATTAAAATTGGAATTAATTTTCTCGGTTTCATCAGTTCTCTTGATTTTAAATATAGTTATAATTGATGAAATAAATATTAAAGATTCAGCCATTTCGGCTTTTTTATTTTGCAAGTAATCACTTACTGTTTTTAGAATTTGAAGAATATCACAAAACATAATTAAATTAAATACAAATTCAAAATCTATAAAATGTAGGAGCCCTTTGCTTCAGCAGCACGGTCCCTTTTCTCAAACATCAATTTATTTAATAAAACTAGCAGTGGAGTAAGATCTTGTTTTAGTGCTAAGCAAGCAAAGCCTTGAGCTGTCCACCTTGTCAAACATATCTTTTTAAGTTCAACAGCTGGTCTGTATTTCACAGTGGATTGCATTTCCATAAGATTTGAGTGCATAGCAGAACCAGATACAAATAAGTTTTCTACAATATAAAAAAAAAATTTCACAGATGGAATATTTTTGCATACGTCAGAAATTACAAAATGAAGCCTATAATTGTAACATTGTACATTAGAGTGGTTCTTATTTGCACGATTTCCGAATTTTAATTGTGCAGCCCCCCTATTCGATATTAAGTGAACTTTGAACTTTCTAATCCGATCCTAACCATTCCCTGTAACGAGGAGAAATTTTCGGTTTAAAATACATGCGATTTCCCTATTTTAACTTTATTATTGTATTACAAGGGCAAATTATTGACGCAAAAAAAAATTTTACATGAAATTATCACAAATTTTACAAAAAAATGTATGGGTAATTAAAAATATTTTTTACACTGCACAATTACGAATTTTAAACTTTTTTCACTGAAAAATATAAAAAACTAATTTTTAAGCCTAAAGGAAAAAGCGTTACCAAAAAAGCGTAACGAAAAAAGAAATGGGGTAGGGGGTGGAAATTAGCTCTGACACATAACCGAAAAAAGTGTTACCGAAAAAACCGTTACCAAAAAAACCGTTACGCTGTTATCTGATAAGAGATAACAGGTAACAAGATAGGGGTGAGTGATAGGGGTGGGAGATAGGGGGATGATAGGAGTGGGAGATAGGACATAGGGGATGACACTTAGTCTTGGAATGGGCGGAAATCTGACCAATTTACCCATCAACAGCCGGTAGGGTAGGCCCAATGGGTCCTGCTCTACTAGTTCGCACAGGGCCTTCCAAGATTTGCCCTTAATGGCTCCCTTAGCTTCCTTTTTGTGCCTCTTTTTCGACTAAGGAATTCGCATCTCCTTGTCTCTTTCTTATCTCTTAGTATACTCTTCTTTTATGGTTACAACTCTTTCTTAATTCGGAAATAATTTTAAGACGAGAGGAATTATTTCCCTCGTCTACCAGTGCACCGTTTTCCTTTTCTCATTTTGTTTGGATTGCGGATCTAGTCTTTTACATATATCTGCTATCGTACTCATCAATCTATTCGCGCTATTATTTGCTTCCATTTCGGCACTTTATTCGTAAGACTTGTAATTATCCAACGCTTCCTGTTATTGTTTTTTATTGATCTTCCTTGTATTCCAGCTTCTGTTCTGTTTTTGTTAACTATATGTATGTTTCAATCATGAATTCTATATAATTATGGTCGCTATGGGAGTGTTCATCAATGACTTTCCAGGTGGTCATCTTCGTCGCTAGGTTAGCGGAGGCAATCGTCACGTCAATGAATGATTTCGAATGACTTCTTTCCCACGTGAGTTTGTCGCCTTCGTTACATACTATTAGGCCGAGGGAGTGTATGAACTCTTATATGGCCTCGTCCTTGACATCGTTCCAGGGGGTACCCCATTCGTTGTGTTTAGCGTCCCTGCTATTACCACTTCGCATTTATCTGTTTTGATACTCGTCTTCAGTCTACTCAGAAAGTCCTCGAAATCTGCTAGTGTTGTGTTGTAGCTCCAGTAGCATGAGTATTCCTGATCTTAACCCATCTAAACCTATTTTGGGCTTCGCGATTTCCTCTAATGGAACGCTGGTGATATTAACGATTGTCACTCTGCAACTGGTGTCACAGTACTAACCGTGCTCCTTTCTAATCTAATCGATAATATTACAAAAGAGCTAAGACGAAATATATAGACTTCTTTTTAGGTAAAAATAACGTTAAAAATCATTGGGTGGTTGGGCTTGCTAAAAAAAAATTAACGGAGTCATTCTAAACTCTACTGACCACTTACTCACATCCCATTTATATCTTAAATATTATATAACGATTAATAAGTTTTTTTTTTTTAATTAACACTCGTCAGGTATTACCTAATACTCGTACAGTCGTACTATGAAAATATATCAGTGTAACGAATACTAATGTTTTTTCGAATATTATAATAAGTGTTGTTATTATGAAAATAATATTGTTTGAGCCTATCGATAAACAAAAAAAAGTTGCAAATAAAATAATTAAAGAAACCGAATAAGCAGATCACTATACCGTACCACCCCTACCGCAGGGCGCAGACTAAACAATAAGCATACCGCCGACCGCGGCGGGTAGTGAGTTGTCGACACCGGGCGGCAAAATCACGCGCATGCGCAGAATCTAAAACAAGCTACTCCGCGCTTAATTGAATAAATATTCAATTATCCAACAATATCGAGCACGCTCAACGGCATTGTTGAATTCCCAAGAATTCAGATATGCCTTTTCTGGGAGTCCAAACTAGACTCATATCCAATATATGTATAAGTAAAAAAACTTTTAGGTAAATGATTACACAAGCAAGAAGTAAAATAATTCCCATGTATTTTATTTGTGTTAAGAATTTTCTACAAATACACTGAGTTAAGCATCAAAGAAATATAAGAAAACCGTTAATCAGAAGTACTTATGGAATTTTGTGGCTTGCTCAGTGTATAAGCGTTTAGTTTTAATTAAAATAGTTGTGATATTACAATTTTTATATTTGAGTGCAAATGTATTTTTCTGTGCTTAGAAAAATAGAATACTTATAATTATTTAAACTCGATATTTAATTATCGTAATATATTACATTATATTATTATATCATTGTAATATATTACACATTTTATCCACACTAGAAATTCTAGCAGAATCTGCCCGCGGCACGAATTTATCTATTGCTCCAAAGTCGAACATTACTACAAATCCTGGATTAGCCTTGAACTTTTCAGGCATATCCTTGTTATTATAATGGAATATGATTACTCCTTCATAATGTCCTGGGATACGTTTACACCTATATCTATCCAAAAGAGTGTGCCTTTTGTCTTCGTCCGTGGTATGCATGTACAATGATAGAGCAGCAGGCCAGTGTTTCTCATCTGAGTTTTTCATAAGAACATTCACAAGTTCAGGTGAAAAACCACACCCAATCAATTTATTCGTTGCTTCTCTCTGGAAATTAAAAATATTTAGTTAATTTTTATACTTATAATATTGCTATTTGATTTTTTGCTAAACTTACTATAAAAGGGCTAGGCGGCGGAGATAGATTATAACCCCATTTTGAAACCCTTGCAGGTTTCAAGGCATTTGCAGCATGTTCATCAGATTCGCTAATCCTTTGATAATCCTATAAATAATGAAAAGTTAATTAATTTGAAAAACGAATACTAGTAAGCAATCGAATAAAAATGTCTATACAATCTGTCTGTTCTTTAAACATTAATAATTCGTTAAGTATTTATTGATAACAGGATATCGACAAGACATTAATGTCAATATATTATAATATTATAATTTTAATAAAGCAAATATCATGTAGATTGTAATAAACGATTTATAAAAGTTACCCTTTAAAAAAATATTTTCTTAGTTGTATATCATATGTATTTGTTTTTAAACGTATTAACTATTTCTGAGAACAACAGTAATATTGTATGCAATTTTTGAAAATCAAAGTAATTTTCGAGAAATGATATTTATAACGTATGTAGTGTGCTTAGAAGCAATACGCCCTAAATACATTTACACGATATTGTATTTAACCGGTTTCTTAAATTATTATTGTGAATCAAATTGTAACATCGTAATTGGATTTTGCATTTATGATTATTGTAGAAATTAAATTTTTTATAAGAAACTATAATTGGCTGTGGATATTTAAATGATGTTTTCATTTTAATGTTTTCAATTCAAAAAAATGTTTACTTCATGACGGACGCATTAAAAAAAAAATGCTTAATATGAATACCAAAATTTATAAATAGGTTTCTGTTCAAATTTCATAAGTCAAACCACCTAAATCATGTTACCAATGGGGAAAAAATCTAAAAGTTTAAAAAAAACAAATAGGTTTTACATAGGCCAGTTTTTTAGTCAATATAACAATCGGGTCTATCGTGAAATGTTGATAACTCTGTACAAAATAAGTATTCTTAATTTATATTACTTCAATTGCTTCTTTGAGGAAGAATACTATAAATCCTGGCTTAACCATCATTTTTTTAGGCAACGTCGTGTTATCAAAATGGAACACGATTACTGCTTCCTGTTTTCCTGGACTACGTTTACACTTATATCCATCGAAAAGACCATTTTCGTCGATGTTAGGGTCGTTCTTAGGGTTATGTGATTTTAGACTAGCAGGCCAGTAATCCTTATCAGAGTTTCGAATAAGATCTTCCACAAGTTTAGGTGAAAAATTAAGAGCCAATAATTCTCTCTCTATTTCCGTCTTTAAATGAAAAAAAAAGTTAATTTTTATATTTTTGACTATTGGACTTTATGCTAAAATTACTTTTTGCTCGTCAGAAGGTTGATTTACTTTTCTATCCCAATTGAAAACTCTTGCGGGTATCAAGGATTTTGCAATAGCTTCATCGGCCTATAAAAAAATGATAAATTTGAAAAACGAATTTTGAGTATACGTTAACAAAAGAAACGAATTTTGAGTATACGTTAACAAAAGAAACGATTTTTGCACATTAATGCTAAAGGTTCTTTTAACAATTTTTTTAAAAAAATAATTTATTCTTATTTTGGACCTTACGGTCTCGAAGTTAGACTGAAGGTAAATATAGAGTGGCACTATAACATTTAAAACTTACTTAAAAACCTATAGTTGTTTTTAGTAAAGTAATAAAAAACAGATAGGATCAATTATTGTTTTTTTTTTTTTTGGGCGTTTTACCAATAGGCGGGGAAAGTAGATCACATAACGGTATATCTTAATATATATATGTTCGCCTTAATAATATAAAATCGAGTGTTGCCGTTGTTATCGCAATTAATAACATAATAAAAATTATTTTCTTATATCTGTTGATTGTTACATATTTTATCTATATCAACATGGAAATAGATGGATGTGTAATTTACCTTTTTGGTAAAAAATATTCTATACGAGTTATAAACTAATTTGGCTTGTTTTAAAAAAAAATTAACAACGTGACTAAATTATAAGGTAAGTAAAATAGTTGAGTGTTTTTAAAAGCGTGTACTTTACTTAGTTTTAGACCATTAGACTACCTTTTAGGGGTGATTTCCGATACATAGACTTGTTATACAAAAATAGCACTAAAACTGGAGTGTGAGATTTGTATTTGAATTATGATTTTATTGAGCAGGGTACCTTGTCCCAGTATTTCAGAAGTTCATTTTAGTAATACGTTGGTCAAGACTAACCACATGTGAATAATCCATGCACACTAATCAGTGAGAGATGGTTATATTGTATTTAGATTTCAGTGATGTATAATATTTAAAATTTAGACACATTAAGAGCTTTGTAATAATAATGATCAAGGTATTTTAAAGAGTTTTACGTTTTAATTTTTATTAAGAACATTACCTAAAAATAATTTTTCTTTTATACGTTTTAATTTTTAACGAAAAATTGTTCGTGAAGCTTTGAAATGGCATAGCCATAGTATTTTTTTTTTGTAATAAATCGTAAATACTGGCTAAATAATGAGAGGTTTTGTAATGAAAAATCGATTTTGGTGATTTTGGGTACTTATTTGACAAACGAATCGCGGCAATGCAGCTGTTTCAAGGGTTGCGACAATTATAGGAGTTAGAAATTTTATTGTTGTGATATGGGCTTGATCACTACAATTTTTGAAAAATTTCGGGCTAATCTCTGCGGCAATGTGACTGGTCAGAGGTCACGACAGAGCTACGAATTTTGACTACGGCGATGTGGCTGGCTGAAAACCACGATAGCTTTAAGAAAACAGTGTCTGAACACTAAGTCTGGCTGTAGTGTTTTAGAATTTCTACTGCGGCAATGTGGCTGTTCGAAGACCACGACAGTATTGATAATGCAATGGTATGATGGACAAAATCAGTAGATAAGTGGTAGGATGTATATACGATTTATACTTTATTATTATAGTAATTTCTCGTTCATACTTTCCAGTTTGAATGCAATAATTATAAATATTTAAAAATAAATGTTTATTTTTTTTAATTAAAAATAATTTAAAAATTAGACAATAAGATTATGAATTTTGTAAGTGTTATTTGTACAAAAGCTATATGCTTGAAAATTGTTAGTTTAATTTTTTGACAAATTTAAAAATTAAATAAATATTTTTAAGATATAAATTTCCCTAGGATATTTTACATTTTTGAGACAACATGTATGTCAAACTTATTGAACGCTCTGGTAAGTTAACTATGAACATTTTAAAAATACTCAACTTAATAATAATACACTTAAATATATATATATTCATAAGTTATTGTTGAAAAAATTATAATTACCGGATCGATAGAGTTTACTTTTGCAATACAATATACTAAACATATTAAAGTAATGAATTTTATATTCATTTTGATATTTATATATAAATACGCTTATAATTCTTGAAGACGTTTAACTAAAGGAAAACCATCACATAAATGATTCTTATTCTCTACAATAGCCAGTCGTATGGCAAAATTTTTCAAAGAAATTTTGTCGAAGTATTTGACACTATACCTTACTGAACAAATACCGTCCATGTAAAAAACATCTGTTCTACTGTTGTTGTGCTGTGTGTTGTTGAACATTATATTATACTGCGGTAATTACTTTTATTTGATTTAAAGCTTTACTGTGTCTATTTTTTAGTGCAACATATTTTTTGGATTGACGTTGTAGAAAAGCATAAATTTTTATTGTTAAAATAAGAAACATAAGGCCTCCTCGTTGTGCAGGTATCAAGACAGACATATTTAAAAATCCACACCAACCCTGTTAAATATGGATATCCGTTTCCTAAAAACTCAAACATTTAGTATTGTTTTATTTAGTAAAAAAAAACGTTTTTCAATAAATATAATATATTGATTTGTCGATGATATCAGTTACAGGGTTTAGCAATAGGTTTACCTTAATTTAAGTTATTTGTTTTATAACGATTTATTATTTTGTTTTTTACATCGAAGCAATAAAGTATGGCTTTTAAACTGATGACGTGTGCGGTTTTATGACTTACTAGAAACGCATTATACCAGTAATATAATTTTTTAAAAACTATCAGCTTCTTATATCTACTTCTTTTTTTACCATCTAACTTGGGTGCATTAATGTTTAGTAACAACTAAGAAATCCCATTGTTAACTAGGACAATTCTAGAATATATACTATTTAGCTGTTAATACTAAAGTAACCAACATAAAGTGAGAATGCAATTCATTAGAAATTCACTATATACTCAAAATATTTAGAAGAACATTAAAAAAACATTTACCTAAATTTTGTGGAAGTATTAGGTATTCAACTTCCTACAAATTATATTCACATAAGTTTTTTACAATTAATAAATTTGTCGATTGTAGCTAAATTTTTCTTTAGCCACGCAGATCTCTGATACCGATGATATAATCACCTTGTCATGCAGAAGTGTAGTGAAGAGTTTCTGAACATTATCTGATATAGTTAATAAACACACTATAAAGGAATATTAAAAACTAAAAAGATAAGAAATCGCCTACAGTAGAACATGCGCAGGAAACAAATCACAATATTAAATCAATACAAATTTTGTGGCTTGCTCAATGTATAAGCGTTAAGATTTAATTAAAACAGTTGTGATATTACAATTTTTATAGTGCAAATGTATTTTTCTGTGCATACAAAAATAGAATACTTATAATTATTGAAAATCGATATTTAATTATATATATTACAAATATTATCCACACCAGCAGTTCTCGCAGATTTTGCCCGTGGTATGAATTTTTCTAATCCACCTTCTGTAAAACATATTATAAAACCTGGGTTAGCCTTTAATTTTTCTGGCATATGTTCGTTATTAAAATGGAACACGATTACTGCTTCCTGTTCTTCTCCTGGGATACGTTTACACTTATATCCGTCGAAAAGACCATCCTCGTCGATGTCAGGGTCGTTCATAGGGTTATATGATTTTAGACTAGCAGGCAAGTAATCATCAGCAGAGTTTCTAATAAGATCTTTCACAAGTTTAGGTGAAAATTTAAGAGTCAATAATTCTTTCTCTATTTCCGTCTTAAAATGAAAAAAAAAGTTAATTTTTATATTTTTGACTATTGGATTTTATGCTAAACTTACTTGACGCCAGATAGAAGGTCGATTGACTTTTTTATTCCAATTCAAAACTCTTACTGGTGTCAAGGAATTTGCAATAGCTTCATCGGCCTATAAATAATGATAAGCTGATAATTTAAAGAAAATAATACTAAGTATGCGTTAACATAGAAAACTATTTTTGAACATTTATGATACAGATGCTTTTAACAAATTTTTTATAAAATAATTTATCCTTATTTTGGGCCTTATGGTCTGGAAATTGGCTATATTTTTAACATGGAAATTTGTGGATGTGTAATTTACATTTTTTTTTGGTAAAACATATTCTAAACAAGTTATAGAATAATTTTACTTGATATACGGTTTAAAATTCATTATCAATTTGTTCTTAAAGAACGTTAATTTAATTATTTAAAAAATTTACTCCAAGGGTTTTTAGATCTTCTTCCACCACGTCAATCCATCTTTTCATAGGTCTTCCTCTAGGTCCTTTCCCTTGTGGTTTCCATTTCAATGCTACTCTAACTGTTTCGTCCTCTCTTCTCATTATACGGCCTAACCATTGTATCCGTTAGCCCTTAATAAAGCTTGTTACAGGTGCTAGTTCTAACATATCGTACAACTCTTTGTTATGTCTCACAGGTCCATATATTTTCCTCCATACTCTGTTCTCTAAAGTCCTCAGATTTCTCTCTGATTGTTTGGTCATCGTCCAAGCTTCGCAACCATACGTGAGATTCGGTCTTATAATAGCCACATACTGTCTTACTTTTGTTTTCCTAGACATCATTTTGGATGTTAAGAATTTTGTCTGTGCGTAGAAGGCTTTTTGGGCTTTATTTATCCGAATACTTATTTCCTTTGCCTACTCATTCTTTGTGCTTAACGTTGCTCCCAACGATATTTAAATTAAATTATAAAAAATAAAAATACTTATTAAGAACAACTATAATATCAAGTAGGTAAAAGGCACAAACATTTTTTTTAATATTGTCATAAAGTAATGAATCATTATTACTAAAAAGATTTCTACTTTTAGTTTGGAGCTAAAAAAATCATTTTTTTTATATAAGTTTTTTAATCTAAAAGAAACAAAAAGTAAATTATGAAATGCATAATGTATAACTTTATATTATTCTAGTTTAACTGTTGGAAAGTACATATACATATTTTGTTACAAATTATTGATTTAATTGCATATGTAACAACATTATTAGGTATTATTATTATTGTTTTTCTATTATTATCTTTACAAGTGTGGTCCAGTATTCTTTGCGGCTTAGATTTCTGTTCGGAATTTTACTGATTTATTGATCTTCTTTAAAGCCTTGTACTGTTTTACATATTTTTTGTAGCTACTCAAGATAGTTTTTACTTGATCGCGATATCCTTCAGTTTGTTCTATTGTGTACAACAACCGAGTTATATTCTCGTCTAATTGCTTTATGCCTTCATCCATCGTAGCGATTTCCGATTCGGTGTAAGCATAGCCCAAATTACGCCCTTTTTCGTACACGATATTTAGTTCAAAAACATTGGTTCGCAACATACAAGAAAGCATTCGAGCTTTGTAGATTCCTTTGAGGTCCACGCAACTCTTTTCGCGTCCTGAAATCACGCTGTGATCACGCTTGAGATCAGTCAAATGACCAGTTTCGTTTACGACCGATGTGTTAGCCTTATCTGATTTACCATCGGCGAAACCATTTGAGGTCAATCGATTACTCTGTTTGGCAGACGATGTGCCGACTTCGGGTAAGACTAACTCTTGTAATTTTTCCAAACTGATATTATTTTTTTTACTATTTCTCGCCTTCTCTTGGTTTTCATCTGACATGGGGTTTTTACCGTTAACACCTGTCACCGGTGTCTGCTTTGAAATAAAATTTTTTTCCATGCGAGTTGACGACTCGGAATTTAGCTTAACCGATTCATTGGATTTTTGTAGTGAAATAGGGATATCTTTATTTTCAGTTAATACATTCGATGCCCTTTTGAAGATGTTGCTGTTGTCTCTACGCGCTGATGCCTCATTTTCAATCGTAGTTGCTTCCACTGGTTTCTCTAACATGTCAGTACGTTCTAATTTTTTCAACTCGTCTGGATTTTGATTCGACAGCCTTATGCTGTCCCTTAATTTTTCAACTAGAGATTTTTTTGAACTCTTTATGCTTACCCTTCGAGAAGACGGCTTGTCATTAGAGTTAGACGATTCTCTTAATTTCTCAGGCGAGTCGGCCTTCCCTTCATTTTTCAATTGGTCTTGTTTTTTCATTGAACTTCTAAAACTATCCCTCAATTTTGATACTAAGGATTTTCTCGATGACTTACTGCTCTCTCCACGAGGTGGTGCAACATCATTAGTCCTAATTAGTTCTTTTGATTGCTTAAATGAGATTTTTCTTTCTTTAGTATTAATTTCCTCTTGATTTTCTACATTTGATATATTTTTTGATATCTTCCGGCTCTCTCTAAGAGGTGACACATCATGATTAGTGTTCGTTTTTTCTTTCGATAGCACAGTTGACTTTTTATTTTCTTTAGTATTTAATTCCTTTGGATCTATAACAATTGATAGGTTACTAAGAGCTTTTCGTGGTAACATAATATTATAATTCGACTTTGAAGCCTGTTTTAATTTCTCAGATATATCTTTACTACCCATCGGAGGAATTTCAGGTGTCTGAGGTTTATTCTCTGCACCATCGTTTACGGTAATACTAGATATATCTTTCGTCTGAACATCGTTTTTTATTATTTTCAATTCGATGTCATCTTGCGGACTTTTCATTTAATTTGATCTATCAAACCAAAACTAACGTTTATTATTACATCTGAAGTATGTAATTAAATTTTGAGAATAAAAATAAAAAGTGATATTTTAAGTTATTTATACGTATCTAAGAAACTAAATTATAATCGATGCTCGTAGATGTCGTATTTGTTGATAAACACCTACTAATAAAATAAACAAAATTAAATACTAAATTTTAATTTTTAAACGTACAAACTTCAAATATAATATTTAATATTTTTTCCTAGAAAATAAAATGTATCCGAAACAGCCTATGCAGCCGTCAAGGTCTATAGCCCTTTCTTGGCAGATGTATTTTTGGTGAATCATTTTTCGCAACTAAAATTAAATCAAATAAGCACGCTAGGCGAATATCTCCGAAGTTTTGTTTTAAAATATCAACTGAATTGGGACGAGTATGATCCATCCGCCATGTTTGCCTACAATTCTAGTATTAACTCTGTCTCAGATTATCAACCGAACGAGTTAGTCTATGGGAGACAAGTGGAAATACCTACATCATTGTCGAAACCTCCAGATACTCAATACAACTTCAACGATTAT